TTACTAATAGGTGCAAAAACTACTGAACCAACTGGGCTTAAATTTTACAAAAATATGGCTACCATACCAAGTACCATTATTGGACTATTCACATTTCAAAACTGACCGTAGGCTTTGCCCCTTTGGCTTTAGAAGTTCTGAGGTGAACATTTTAAAAGTAAATATTGACTGGTCTCCATGGCTGCGATGAGAACACTAACAATGGTTTTTTACGTTTGCTTTGACATTTAAATGTAAACAAGAAGAACTGCTAAGAAAAAAAAAAGATTCTATAACAGTTGCTGTATCAACTCCGGCTCTGCTTTGGATTTTTTAAAGCGTCTAAGTTATGAAAATAATATTATTGATATGTTTTCATGGAAACAGTATGAAAATTACAATGTACCTATAGATGTTTTGTATGAATTTGGATGCTACTTTAAATAAATTCAAACTGCTTAACTTGTGTTAGATTAACTTAACATAACTTGCACATCACATTGTTTTTTTATATGTATATTTAGGTAAATTAAGTTATTGTGTTTTGCTAAACCTATGCTTTTCCCATGTTATTCTTATGGAGAATAAGTAAACTGTTGTAGTTTGCTTGTTTGTGAACATATTTTGATCAAATTTGGAAAATGTTTTTACTTCTTACTAACTATTCACATTTTACAAAAAAAAAAAAAAAAAAAAAAAAACAGTTTTACCCTCCCTGATACATCAAACCTAAGTACTTGTTAAACTAATTCTATTTAAATCAAGAATAAATGTTATATTTTTAAGTAGACATTTCAGTGTAAATCCAATCAGTCAAATGGAAATTCGCTTAGTCTGCAGGTTTGCTGTGGCGGGGGTATTTTATCTTAACATAGCTTTCAGTTCACATTTACTTTATTTGATACATTTATTATTTGTGTTTTGCCACACCACTGATTAAATTAAACCAAGGAAAATATCATAAAACTAAGCAGTACACAGTTCTTCTTTTCTTTCTCACAGTGTTCTTTTGTTTCTAAAATCAATGAAATATCTGTTACTATGTTTACTTAATGGTAAGTGTGAAAATGTAAAGGCAATGGACGATGGAACTGATTAAAAGAACTGGTTTGTATATTAAGTTGTTTGTTGATATTTTTTATAGAGTAGAACCAGAGATGCAATGAAACATATACTGTATTTGCTATTATATTTTTTAGTCCTTGATGCTTTGATAATCATATTAGTTTTGTCTGCTGTCTTTAATGCTGAATTATTTGTTTAAAATTTTTATAGTACCTATAGATATAGTTTCATTAATATTTCAAAAGACTGTATTGATAAGGCACAGCAATATTTCTAAAGTTTATAACAGCTGACTTAGTTTTGCTAATGATTTATTGATCGTGAGTGAAGAAACTGAAGATGGAAGGATTTGTGATTTAACATAAAGAAGAGTGAAATTTAAAAAAGTGTTCATTTAAATTAAATAATTAGTATTTTTGCAACTTCAAAATTGAAATTTAAAATGTCAATAGTAAATTAAAAGATATTTAATTAAGGGAGATGAAGGTAAATCATATATGTCAAAGTTGTATTCGAAGATTTGGTCAGGGTTTCTCATATCAGCCAACACAAGATTTAAAATTAATCAAAACCAAAATGGTGCTATCCACTACTTACCAGATTTAAAAGTTAACTTTAACTTTCCTATAAGGCCATAAAAGTTGAACTTTGTTTCTAAAAGCGTTTGCGGATGTGTAACTATTATATGCAAAAGATGTAAAGATTAAAATGTTTCTATTTTGTGTCCTCTTCCCGTTGCAAAGCACGGGTACAACAGCTAGTTTTGTATAAAATGTAAAGAAGAAAATGGTTTACGTTAGATTTTTTTTCATAGTATGTGTCATTAGTATTATTAATCTTTCTAAAGTTTCCTTGAAGAGATCGCGCACACAATGAATAAAATAGAGATATGATGAGACATCATGTTTTCACCCTTAAAAACTACAATATATCGTATTACTCTGAGGTAGTACTAATATTGTGAAATTTTGTGAGTTTGTTCGTTTGTTTGATATCCAATCACGCATTAACTACTGATCGGATCGGGTTGAAATTTGGTATGAAGATAGCTCACATTCCCGATTAACATATCTAGACATATTCTTATCCCAAAAATCATTTCGGGCTCTGCCCCAATGGCTCCATAGTTTCCCATGTTGTTAACCTTATGAGTATTTATATTTAAAATGAATTAAAAAATGTTGTCAGCTTTTTCAACTACACAAGTTGGTTCTTCGATATTCAATAGCATTAAAGAGACCACCTCTGTATCTGGTAAGATTAGAAAACGTTAACAAATAGATTACTTGAATAGACTAGCTCCTCCCCCACACACATCACTGCTATAAGCTCCTCCCCCATTTTTTGCCCCTGCTCATTAGGACCTTTGGTCAATCTGTATGTTAGAAAAGACCCTCGAACCATTGGCCAATCTGTACGCGCGCAAATTAGCGTTAGTATTTTTCGCGTTTACTTGTCACAAACATCCATCCATCCATCCATACATCCAAACTGTCTTACTTATAATATTAGTAGGATAAGTAAACTGTTGTAATATTGCTTGTTTATGGATCAATTTTTATCAAACTTGGCAAATGTATTTATTTCATAGTAAGCTAATGATATGTTCCTTAAAATCACACTTCGTTGCCCTCCCTGTAGGCAGCAAAAACCTAGGTACTCGTTAAACCTAATGTTATCGTTGGTGCAATTAGTAGCGCCATTTGAACAGCTACTGCAAATCAGCGCTACTATTCTATTTGCTAGCAGCTATACCCGGGCCTTGCATCGGGGTCAGTATGCAAAAGAGACAATGTTAGTTCTTAGAAACATGCCAAATGGTTTTCCAAATGCCAAATTTAGAAACAAAATTTAACTGTACTACTTAACTTGATAATAGTACGTTTTTGTTAAATCTTACTGTGATTACTTATTTATGCTACCTACCATACAAAACCAAAGATAGATTTTAAGGTATAATAAAAGAATGTATTTCATGGTTTGCACTGTAAACGAAAACTATCACAATAAACCTCATAAAACTCAGAATAAGAGCCTAGATTGATAGGGCAATGATTATAGAATCTTAATTATTTCCTATATCCATGAACAATTTTTTTACAACGAATTATTCCCTCTAAAATATTATTACAGCATTTCACAAATATTAGAACAGACTCAGTATAATAGATCATAAACATAAACAAATGAAGTAACTGAAAGATTCATATACTAATGAAATTCAAATTATATTAACATATGGTTTGACAGCTCCATTTAAGTAATGTCAAATAATGTTTACATTCGGGCTAGTGACATCATTATTTTAAATTTATAATCCTTACCCTCTATGTTCTAATATTCGTGCAGTATTTAATATGTTTGAACCAGCTGTGTGGAAATATGAAATCAACATTCATTTGACAGTTAGTTCTGCTTGTTTACATTTTTAAACTTTGTAGGTTTGTTCTTTGTTACCATGGATACCATCAATCAATATTTACTTTTAAATCTCTCACCTCAAATTTTTGAAAGCCCACGGGGCAGAGCCCTAGGACAATTTCGAAGCGGGAATAGTTCTATATGTATCCTCGGAGCTGTAGCTTCATTTGTGTGCAATTTGAGCCCAGTCGGTTCAGTAGTTTTTGAGATTACCTCATACAAACACACACACACACACACACACAGACACCACCTCTTCTTTATAATAGTATAGATAGATTAATACGCTACATGAAACTTTGTCGGTTGAACTCCTCCGCCATTTCTTAACCGATTTTATCCATTGACGTCTTATTGGAAAGAGCGTGTCGCGTAGATTTGCAAACTGGCCTTACATTTTGAAAAGGTACCTTGGGCTCTGCCCCAGTGGCTTTGAAAGTTCCCATGTTATCCTTATGAAGAACATAATTATTTACATTTTGATCAGCTGTACAATTTAATTGCTGTTATTTATTTTTTAATTCAATGAAACGCATTGAGTACATTTATTTACTATTTATTTGAGTTTGTGTAAATATAACCCCCCAAGACGGATCGTGTTAGTATGGTCGTATCTTAAATTTGTGTATTTATCGTTGTTTTGTGTCCCTATGACGGATCGTGTTAGCATGATTGTAACTTAAATTTTGCATTTATCGTTGTTTTGTGTAGCTATAATTATAATTTGTTTATTTATTGTTTTTTTTTTCTTTTAAATGCCTCCGACGCGACGACAACGACACATATAGACAGGAGGCGTAATCGTGATAACGACCGCAGCTACAGAACAGTGGCGTGTAATAGAAAGCTAACTCATCACAGTCAGCACCTGACCCTGGACAATTTCAACTACTGTATTAGGTTACAAATGTGCCCTAACACTACCCCAAAACGACTTTTCGTTCTCAATTCGCCCTCTATCAATGACCTGTGTTGCCTGTACAGCGAGACATTTCGAGAAGGAGAAAACCGGCCGGAGTGCTTTAGGTTTATCAATAACGAAGATAAACATGGTCTGAGTTACACACCGGTAATCTTTGAGTTGACTCTTTTAAACTCGTTGTAAATATTACTGTTATTCGTTTTGAAATAACTCCTGTAATACTTTGCAATTGCTCGATTTCGAGCAACATGTGCACTAGTTTACATTATTACAAAATGTTCAAAGTATTGTATTTACATACAACATTTTCCTTCATAAACAACGTATATTGTTTAGTTTAACTAAAAATTTAAATTATGGCTTTGACATCCCTTTCCTTCCAAAATTATTTTTCGTTCAACTGGGTAATTCAGAATCTTCGAATTAAAAACCCCTCCCACGTAAAATATATAAGATGTAGAGCGAAGAAAATTTAAAGTAGGACTACACGATTGAAAGACTTTTGAATTTGAATTCACTTTACCACCCTATTAAGTATCTTGAAACCTCCCGGAAAAAAAACTAACAAAATCTTAAAAGGCCACACACCTTTAAAAAAAATATCCACACATACCTCAATGGTCCTCATTTTCTTCACTAGTGGGTTCTCATACTTTGTCTTTTCATATTCTTCTTGTGAGAAGATCTCTCCCTGTTCAATCTTCCTCTCCATTTCCCACAGAATCCTCGCCTTCTCCAGTTCCTCCTGGTCCAGAGGCACCGGAAGTTCATCATCACTGTCGCCGTCACACCCCTTCATCTGGTCAAAGTCGAATCCCTTGGAGAGTTTCGGCTTTAACTTCTCCGCTACCTGTAGTCATTTAAAAACAATGTGTTAAAGACAAATATCTTAACTTGATAGTAAAATATCTAATACGAATTTATCATAATAAAAAGAAATATTAGAACCTGTTACATTTTTGGTTAATAATGTTAAAATCTTTTCCTAACAATTACAGATTGGATTAATAGGATCCTTTATACATTTTTTCGTCAAGTTTAAAGAATCTAATAGAGTAAAAGGTAGGACTTTCTTTCGTGCAATGCTGAAATGAGTATGTTATTAATATGGATAAATTTAAACTAAAGTACCATCAACATAATTTATCTTGAGAATAAGGTATTATTTGAACACAAGACCTCGTAAGTACTTTTGAAATCGTTTAACATTCAATAATATTTTGAGTGTAAAAAAAACATTTAACGCAAATGCATCTCAACAAGGGAAAGGTTGACAGCGTATTAAAATGAAGTCAATAATATTGACTCAATAAAAGTAATAATCAATATAGGACACGATAAATTGGCATTTAAAATATACTAAAAATAACTACTCATAACGTCTAAGAGTATTTTCGTTTATAACCTCTTATTGCCATTGATTATGATGCATTGTCTCAACCACTCACTCATTGCATCAATTAAATTGGTCTTAACAGCAGATTTTTTAACGTTTGAAGCATTGCAATTTTACCTCTTTTCTCTGAATCCTTAAACCTCATTGGTCCAAACTTTTACAGTAAAATCAGTTAACAATACTGTTATGTGAATCTGTTTAATTCTAACTTAGACTAGTTTAGAAACAGTCGTAGGTAAAGTATATTTACAATGATTATTTTAAATACTTAGAATAATTTTCACCTGTTACCTTATACAGTAACCAACCTTAATTTTGGTTTCCTCAAGCATAGAGCTCGTCATTTTGGAGACAACAAAGACTGGATGATCAGCTATGTAGGGAGCTTCGTCGATCCCCATCTTTCCCTCCAAAATGAGGCGTTTTTCCCGCTCGAGCTCCCAAAGCTGAAACAACAGGCCTAGTTGCATTTGATGACTACCTGTAGGCCAACAAAGCAAATTATACATACTTCTTGACTTAAGTGAACAAAGTGAGATCATATTATCTTTCTAGATACTCCACTTCTCCCGCCTTGGTTTTGAGAAATAGAATAAATACTATCTACAAACATATATTTTTATAGGGTGATACGGCGTTTAAGTCATCCAGCATAAAGTATTGACTGTTTTATGGTACCTTACAAAACTACTACTTTTAAATGCTGACATCATTTTGAATTTTTTTTATATCATCTTAAATTTAATCATATTTATATAACAGTATGAGGTGAATACAGCATTTACAGATTCTCTAAATTACACATTGAATTGCCAAGCAACACCCTTAAAATTTTATTTGCCTTTCTTGCTGTTTAGCATAATTTTACTTGCTAAACTGCAGTTCTATCAAAGAGAAGCATTGATAGGTTTATGGAATATGTGTGAGATAAGGAGTCTTAATTTTCCTACAGTTACCTAACAATGTACATGTTCTCTCACTGATTTGAGAAAGCAAAGTGGCCAATTCGCTCATCAGTGAGACAATGTTAACATTGTCTCACTCTAATTACTTTGTCTCACTCCAGATTTGCAACGTGAAGGCACGAAATAGTGAGCACGTAACATGTAGGCAACGTCGTATGCGCGCGAAATACGTTGGCAGCACTGGCTGTAAATCAGCTGGTCAGTTGTTGTACTGTTGTATTTGTCACTTCACATTAAATGTTATATTGAAAGTTCACTTCTGTGTAAAAATAGGTTATGTTTCTTCACAAATTTATTTGTTTTATGGTAACTGTAGGAAAAGTATAATGTGCAACTCGAGTTCAAAGTACAATTGCCTCACTCGAGAAACCATTCCGTGAGTAAGGATTTCTCTCGAATGAGTCAATTGCTCACTTTTCTCACTAGTTGCACAAATAACTATTGAACATTTGTTTAGTGATAGAAAAATGGTTTATTTACACTTAGTTTTAATAAACCTTAGATCGTATGAAACTAGAACTTCTAACTTATTCAAATGAAATTACCTCTCCCAACAAAACTTTTCCCCCGTTCCCAAAAAAAGTACAAACTCGTACGGTCAATTAAATTGTTAACTTCCGAAAATTTAATGTTGTAATCCATAGAGGCCCTCTTGTTCTAGAAATATCAAAGTGAAATATATACTTTGAGTTTTATTACACATTTAAACAAACCAGTAAAAAGATGATGCCCTTTTGGTTTATATGAGGTTAACGACTAAAATATCAATTACTGACCTGTTCCCAGTATGTATGTTAGCTCGCGCTGAGTGAACAAGAAAGCACAAGGATCGATTCTTTCTGAGGTTAGGAACTATCCATCAGTGGCTATATTACTTTGGTGGATGGATATGGCCACAAAAATGAAGCTCCCATAACTTCGACATGTCTGCTATAGACGTGTTCCTCTGCATTTGTATTTCCACGTGTCTCCATCGTTTACTTGTATGAATCCACGCCATGTTAAAACATTACTTACCATCAATGTTTTACAGTAGCATTATTGGAAAATAAATTTCAGAAAAAAACCCATCTGATATTAAATAGCTCTTATTTTTGGATAGCTTAATGTGAAGTTTTTCGTTCAACTATGACGTTTTAAAACTCTTGAAAGGTGTTTTAAACCACTTATAGTAAAATTGTGTTACTAAACATGGAAACTATTCATTGCTTCCATAGGTTTGTTGGATTACTGTACAGGTAATAAGTAAAATAGCCCAGATAAATATATAAGAACTTATGCCTAAAAGTTACGCGCCACTATTAGCATTACGATCTCAGATAATTAAATCAAACTGGTGAAAAAACTACATTCTATTTTAATTTACTATATTGTGTTCACCATTATCATTAGTTGTATATATGTAACTAAGTATAGCATTCATAGTTTTCTTTTTTTTACCTGAATGTAATATTCAAAAATATAAGGGAAAATGCATTATAAAAAGTAAAGCTAAACAAACGTTTAAAATTTTACCATTTATACTCCACTAAGTTTTGCCAATCGGAATTTCACAGCTAACCATCTAGTTAGTCTAAAACCAGAACTAACCCCATAGATGCAGGGAATGTTCTACAAATACTTAAGAAACCAAAATATTTGTGAAATTTTTCTTTAATTAAATAGATTTTGGAAAAACTACCACGATCAAGTTCGGTTGTAAAATATGAAAGAATAAATATTGCAAAGAGACACAATGTCGGCCAAAAGACTTGGGAAATCTTGGACTTATTGCACCAATAACAGTACACCACGGGGGGTTACAGTATATTAAATTTTCCATTTTCCCCAACGAAAATAATTGCGTTAAACAACCAAAAACACAGATTTGTCCAAATCTTTGCAAAGATTTTTTAAACCCACAATGTGTAATTTAGAAACATTATAAGTATGATTGTAAGAAGTTTTAGTATGATTGTAAGAAGTTTTAGTATGATTGTAAGAAGTTTTAGTTGGATTGATAGCCTCTGTAAACCCACAAATAAATTTGTGTATCGCAAACACAACAACATGTATGTTTTTCAACACTAATAACAAAATAATATTATTTTTTTAAGGGAGAGTACGGAAAATGCTTTTACGCACACAGGTACAAAAAAAAACAAAAAAATATTAGGGAAAGTATTATTATCAATTATGTTTTGAATGCTCGATAATGGGATTTTATCTTTAAGAATTTTTACTTAGTATTATAACGTCTTATTCATATAAACAGACAGTGCATCATTTCAAATTAAGCTATAAAAAATTTCTATCTTCCTCTAAGAGATGCAAATTTGATTCATGTAATGAATGTAAATCAGATACGTCCAGTAGATTGACAGTTCATTTTGGAAAAGGAAGTTTACTACTAACTAGTAGCGCAATTCTGATATATGGTTTCAGTTTAGTTGTAATTAATTAGCTTACAACTGTAAGAATAATTTCACTAAAACATATTAAACACGAAATTCAACATTTCGTGGTACTGATACGTTTCCCTATCTTTCATAGCTTAGCGTGGATAACAATTTGTATCCAAAAAGAAGAAAGAAAAACATGAATAAATTAATCATTTTTGTATCCAACTTATCTTACTTTCTATGATTATGAAGAATATTTAATGCTTCTTAAAATTCTGTCCCTTTTTGTTTGCAAAACTAAAAAATAATACTGTATATCAGACTTTTAATCGCCAAATTCCCTGATTTAATAACATGATTATTGATTCTTCCATATACTATCTTTACCAAAAATGGTTTTGTTTCACAAATAGTCAAAACCCGAAACCATAAGAAAACATCTTATTTAAAACTTTTCAAGTCATAAATCAAAATCTTTAAGTTCAGATATAGAACTTTCCGAAAAGTAAAACTTCAAATAAAAATATCTTTAAGACTAACATATCTTCAAGAAATCCTAAACTATTTATTCTTGAGATAAAAAGTAAAAGTACGATATTTTACCTGCTCCGCTTGGACCCCAACCATAGCTTTAAGACTCCGGAACAATAGAAAGTAGGCAGCACGCCATCCGTCAGTCAGTCTGTATAGTCTTTACTGACAGTTTCGTGTTTGCTCTTATATTTTGCTTTATTGCCCTTCCAACTTATATCATTCCTCTAACTATCCTAACAGAAAGTTGGATCATGCATGGACAGGTTGAACACGCCCGTCTTTTACTCATGGTTTATGATTTATTGGGGAATTTTTAAGGTTTACTCATAATGTGAGCTTGGATGGGATTTAAAAGACTAAACGTATTGGTTGCATATTAAAAACAAGTCACATTGTTTATTTAAGTAAGGAAGGTCACTTTAAGTTTATATGTATAATTTTGGCAATTAAAACCTCACTAAGCATAGATTTTTGCAGAAAGTACACATTTTGAAAGATTCACGGGGCAAATAGTCTTACATTGCATTTTTAATTATTGTGAGAAAATAAAAGAGGTGGTGGAAAAGGAGTGTTATAACATTTGTCATAGTACTCTCTCTAGATACTGTGCTCTAAGATGGAATTCATTCCAAAACTATGAATACTAAAAACATGAAATGAATAAATAGGACTATGGCTCTTCACTCTTTGATCAAAATATTTTCTTGATGGAAATTAAAAATTGAAAAAATATAATAAGAAATATAACATAATAGCTACTGTCCCTTAATCACAACCAAGGATACGAAGCATTTAACGTCTTTACAGCTTATGTTTACGATTGTTTGTTTATATTTATGTAAACAATGTTGTATGTGTTTACATTGTATGTATTTGAAAATCCATTAAAACAATTTTATTGTGTGTTATCCATGCCAGTGGAATTTTTAACGATTTGAAAGGGAACGGTCCAAACCCTGGTCTTAATATTTTCTACTTCGAACTATTTGTTAGATAGCACCAACAATTCAAAGCCCAATGACAAATGGCATCTGGGTCTGGAAACGTCCTCGCTTGGAATCGAACCGGCGACCTTCAGCTACTCAGAACCGTGGATCAAGTTAAAGAGTTATCGAGTATATCAAGGCCACACTATACTACCAAGGTAGTATATCATCTCAGTGGGATGGTTAAAAAGTGTGTTAAATTAATTATTTAAATTTAATCGATCCCAGCATTTTTTAGTAAGACACAATTTTGTTAAAAAAATAAGGGAGGGTGGAAAGAAAGAAAAATAAACTGTATCAGCAATCTGACACATACATTCTCTTATTAGCTTGTCAACAACCTTTATCATGGGAAAGCTGTGGGAGTAACTATGATAATTTATTGGAAAAATCATAAAAGTTTCAAACAATTTGGAACCATAAATGTTACAGCAATGGGAGTTTGCACTATTTTGTTTTGAATTATAAAAACCGGCTTTTTTCCTAAAATCCGAATTTTTGTTATTTTATGTTTTTTTTATGGGAAAATATCGTAAGTTACAATAACTTTTGAACAGCAATTTTCACGGAAGTGGAATTT